GATCTGCAAATGGAGAGAGCAGGGAAAGATGGAAAGGACTTCCTAATAACTGCAAGGCTCCAATTTCTCTGGGCTTTGATGCAATCTCATCAGTCCTGTGCTCCTGCTCAGCTCAGAGCATAGGATGTTTGACATTTCCACCTCGGAAAATCCTTCCCCTGAAGCCCCAGAACTAGTGACCCCAAATCAGTGAAGATTTCCCTGTCCTCTGACCCCCCCCAAAATAACTGCACCATCCAAGCCACGCAGCCACCCCAGGTCATGGCCTGCTCTGGCTCTCAGCACATCTGTAGCTTCCTTCCTTCCTGAGACTCTCCGCTCCGTGAAACATAGGGGCCCATGTCTTCTTGTTCTCGGGGTCCCTGGGGCCTGACATGCAGGAGGCCCTTGATCACTAGGGTGGCACAGCGGGCTCTTGGTGTCTGCTGATAGGACAGGGATGGCTTTGCTTGCTCAGACTCAGGGAACACTATCAGCGGGGCCCTGTGCACCTGTCTGCATGTGAGGGCTCAGGTTTGCGAGTCTCTGACTCTTTCTTGAACAGCTGGCGCCCCCAGGGCTGTGTCCCTGTTCTACACTTCATCCTTTTGCCTTTTTCTCTGGGATGGCCTGATGTTGTGAACAAACCAACTCACCCATCCTGGGCTTAGGAGGGTGAGCCCTCCATCCTCCTCTTGTGGAAATGCTATTGTTTAGGAGGGGAAGTGGGGATCTGGCCAGCTATCTGAAGAGCAAGGGCTGAAACTTGAGACTCAGACCGGTGGTTCCTGAACCCTCAGCTCATCAGTACCACGTGGAAGAGGAAAGGGAGCCCGATCAAGCCCCAGGAAATTGGGACCCGGCTCCCCAGATGACTCCGACACCTTCTGCCCAGACAGGTGTGTGAGCAGCTTTGCTGGATACTTGATTTCCATCCCTTGCTCCTCAGAGGCGCCTGTCCGGCCTCTGCCCTCCTAGCCAGCTCGGACTTCTCCCTGGCCCCCCGTAGACACTCCTGGGGTGCTGCACCTTCTCCATCTCACAGAAAGGGCTTTACACTCAACTTTTCAGTCAATGTACATATGCGGGGGGTGGGTAGCACTTGGGTGGGGGAAGGCCATGCTATTCCCAACCCCCCCTCCCCGGACCCCCAGCAACGGGGTGGGCAGGGCTCTATGTTCCTCCCATGTGGCATACTTGGAAGGGGCCTGATATTGCTGGGAAAAGCCCCACTCAGAAAACAGTATCTGGGGGAGTTGAGGGACACAGGGGGCCATCACCGCTCCTCCTCTGATTTCCTGCCTTCTTGCTCCTGGGGATGCTGGCTTGTAAACAGGCCCCACCAGGAATGGGGGGCTCCAGGGGCAGGGCCAGCCACTGCCTACTCTGTGTAAGTCACAAACGGACCTTGCGTCATGCTGGGATTCCTTCCTGGCCAATGTTGCCTGGCCAGGCTTCCCACTCACTCAGCTCTTCCACGGAAGCAGAAACAGAGCCAGAGCCCGTCTTTTCACCAACAGTGACGACACTGAGTAATAATAGCAGCAGCGGCCACTGAAGACCCCCACGGCCGGCTCCATGGCAACTGGCTCCAGTTTACACGGGAGGAAATACACTTATGCAGGCAGTGGTGACTTGCCCCAGCTCCCAGGAGGTGCACTGGGGCTGAGGGAGTGGACAGAGGGTTTCCCTTGGGCCACACCAGGCAGGCTGCTCTGAGTTGTTTTCCAACTAGACCTTGTTCTTGGGAATGTCCCCAAGCGCTCAATTTTAGCAAAAACCACCCCCTGATATCTTTGATAGCTGATGACCTTCAACAAGTGACCAGATTCCTCGCCCCCCATCACCTCTGGGTAATGTCTGATTGCCCTGGCCTCCTTTCAGCAAGGAACCCGTTAGGTTGATTTAGCCAGAATCCCCCCTTACCCCTGATGTTTCCCTTCAGTAGCTTCCAACCAACAATCCCCCCACACCCTGCTTCTTGGCTATAAATTCCCTCTCTCCTTGTCACATTCAGAGTTGGGCTCCATTTCTCTCCCCTGCTGCAAAACCTCACTGCAGGGTCCCTATACTTGCATCCTGCTGAATACAGTCAAGTGTTCTAACAAGGTCAGGCACGATCTTTTTCTTTTCTTTTCTTTTTTTTAAAGCAGAGTCCACTCCTGTCCTTTGTTGCCTACCAGAAGGAACAGAAAGGGAAAGTGTTTGCTGAGGAGCACCCCCCAGAGCACCTCAGAGATGTCCCAAGCCAGCCCCCACAGCCCCACTGCTCTTTTCTTCCCCAGGACAGGGCAGGGAGCTCACCTGGCACCCCTAGTGTGTCCGAGAGCAGAGGCTGTGCTCATAAAAGAACGTTTTGTTTGTATCCAGTAGTATCATGGCAAAGGTTTCCACAGACGGCTCAACACAGTACGAGAAGAGGATGGATATCCTTTCTTTTCTCTTTTCCACTGAGACACCCGATTACCCAGTGACAGTGCTCAGAGGCCCTGGCCCAAATCCTACCAGCCCTGGGACTCTAGCGTTGGAGGATTTGGATGAATCAAGTGAAAGGTTGGTGGAATCTGGGCCTCCCTTGGTCTTTCAGAAGGACTTAAAAAAGGAGCCAGACAACCAGCCCATCTGCATCCTCAGCTTGCCTTGGGGCTCTCTGCAAGACGGGGGCCAGGGAGTGGGTGTACGGGAGGGAAGCCCGGGCCGGGGGCAGATGCGACTATGGAGAGGGAGAAGGGAGGGCGAGCAAGGGCAACACATTAGTTGCTGAGCAGCAGAGTACAGCCTGAAAACTCAAAGAGCCAGAGCTGTGACCGTTGCCCACTAGGTGCCAAAACATGTCAGTCCTCAAAGATGTCCAGCCCCAGCACGCTCCCAGAACAGCAAAATCTGGAAAACAAGTCTATATCCATTAAAAGGAAAAGAGTCCCTTGAAGTGGCTGACTCAATCCATGGGACTCTCTGTTGAGCCCAGACGGTGAATAAGACCTACGTGGAAATGTGGGGTTGGATCTCAAGGACACTGGGGAGTCAATGCACATGAGATGCAGAGTGGTGAGGGTCCGCACTGAGCATGCGAGCCAGCCCGCAGACGTCACCCCAACTTCGCAGTCGGTGCATGCCTCCATCAACACGGGACCCGTGTCCAGCTCACGGGGGGTGACTCTGGTTGGGGAACGGACCTGGCTTGTCGGAGATCCCTGGACAGGGCCCCAAAAGTGGAATTGCTGAAAAGCACCAGCTTGCATTTCTCCTTCTTCCATCCAGAAGCCCTTCGCTACCAGGACCCCTACAACTGGCTCAACGGTTTATCAGGCTGACGGGGAGCAAGGAAGAACCATACGCTTCTCCCTCAGCAACCAAGCCACAATAGGACCCCTGCGCAGAACATCCACCAGCTGGCCCTGGACCAGCCGTAGGCCCTCAAAGACCATGCCCACTGACAAAGCATTTCAACCACCTCCATTTCAACCTCAGTCAGCACTTCCTGACTCTGTTCTTCCTTCCAGCTTATCTCTTAACTCAGGTGAAAGACCCTGAGGGCAAAGGATCCCGTGATGAGAACCACAGCCCTCCCCTCAAGCAGTGAGGACTGCCCTGACTTCAGCAAGACCCCACGTGATGGACCCCAAGACAGTGCTCCACCTGACCTTCACTGCCCATCTGCAGGCACCCACCGACCTTAGTCCCACACTTTCCTTCTGTAAACCTGCAGATATTTTTAGCATTTTGGAGACAGTCTTTGAGACACTAGCCTGCTGTCTTCCCAGTGGTGGCCTCACTGAAGTAAATCCCTTTCTTGTCTCACTACCTCTCGTCTCTCTGCCTTTGGATTTTATCAATGGTGAGTAGCCCAACCTGGTCTGTTTGGAGGCCTCTGTGCCCCAGTTACACCATCTGAGAGAGGGGCCAAGAATCCCACTTTTCCTGTGCTGGCAAGGCCACCCCAATGATCCCCAGTGTGCATCCCAAACCTTAGTGGACTTGTTGGACGGTTGCCCCAGGCCAGTCCAGCCCCAGTTCCCTTCTGTGGGGGGTGGCTGAGGCCCTGGGCCGGCTCTCCTGGGAAGGTGTGGGCTACGGGGTGGTGTCTGCTGGAAGGTAGGTTGTGGGGGGGGGTTGGGGGGGGAGGTCACATACAAGGCAGTCAGAGGAGCATTTTTGCTTCTAGACCTGGTCTCAGGTACAGGGTATGAGGGGGTCCCTGGAGGCCCTGAGCCATTGAATTCCCTAATAAGCTTCCAGGGTAGGAAAGTAGACAGCCGTGAAAACCTAGGGAACCAGAACCTGAGAACCGGGCAAAACAGAGAGGGGGTCTGGAGCTAAGTGAGGACTTGCTCTCTTCTGAAGGATGAACATATGTGCTCCCCCCAAGAAGACGAAATTACTCAGGGATGAGTCACTCTCCCTCTCCTTCATCTATGCTGCTCAGAATTTCAGCACAAAAGCAATGTCCTGCCCTCAGGGAAGAGAGGTGGGGCTTTGTGGACAGCCTCCTTCTACCACAACACCTGGAATGCCCAGCCCACTCCTGCTGGAGGCTTTACTGGAGGGGAGGGTGGGAGGGTAGGAGAGGAGCTGGAGCAGTTGGTGCCCAGGGCAGGGCAAGGAGGAACCTGCTTGGCCGGGTTTGGTAAGAGGCCATAAGGAACACAGATATCAGGGCTTCCCCTAGTGGCGTGTAGAACTGCACAGGTGAGGCCCAGGAAACACAACGCCGTGGAGGAACTGAAGCCCAGGCTATGAGAACAAGCCAAACTGAACTTCCTTTGGGGACAAGATGGGGCATGACACTCAAACAGAGAGATTGAGCAGGAAAGGACTGTGACGGTCCCTCTCCAAGTCTGGGAGCACCTGCCCTTGATCCCTGGAGTTGAACCATCTCTTGTCCCAGGTCAACTGGGAAAAGAATGGCAAGCATCTGGCAGAGAGTATGGGCCGGCCCAGGGGCAGGTGTACGAGGGTGTGCTGGACACAGTGGTGGGCAGAGGGACTCTGCAGGAAGCAGAGGATCGGGAAGGCCTCACCTGGACCTGGCCTTTGCCCATGATCCTGTCTGTGCTCTCGCCGTCCTCCTTGGTGATCTTCGTTTTGTTGTAACACTTTTCATAGCACAGTATCCTCAAGGTCTGGGAGCCTTCCAGCTCAATCTCAAATTCCTGAAGTCCCAAGAAAGAAGGAAAGTCCCTCATTGTGGGGGAAGGGGAGTCCAGTGGGTTCCTCACTGCCCCAGAAGGATCCATGCCTCAAGACCCTCTCCACTTTAGTCCTGCAACGAAGACCCTCAGAAGCCACTTCCCTGTGAGTGCCCCATTGTGGTCCAGCCTGGATGCTTCTGGAAGCTCTGAATGCCTCTAACATCTAATCGAAACTCCTGAAGCCAGAATGTCAAAGGGCAGTCCCCACAGCACCTGCACCAGAAGCTCAGAGGTGTTGGTCACAAATGCAGTTTTCTGTGGAATGACGTGTCAGTGTAGAATCACTGATTAGTGGGGAAGGCTCTGCACGTTTGGGGACTGGGTTCTATGGCAAATCTCTGTCCTTTCTGCTCTGGACCTAAAGCTGCTCTAAAAAAATCAATGTATTTGAAAGGGAAAAAAAAAAATTGCCCCAGAGAGGTGACAGAGGAGACGAAAGAACTGCTCCTGTAGGCTTTGGAGCTGTGTTAATTTTCTCCTCCATCACCTCAGGATACCTTCAGTAAATTCTGCGTTTCACACCAGTGCTGTTGCCAGCACAGGGTCGTGGTGGGGAAATGGAAAAGAGGGTGACAGAAAAGAAAAAAGGAGAGATTTCTGAGCCCGCATGGGGGTGGGGAGGGCGCGTGTGCTGGGAACACGTAACACCCCTGGATGATCCAGACATACCCCCAGGCTGGCCACCAGGTGACCTGCTGGTCTGGAACCCTCGTGCCTTGGTTCTTTGAGCCTCCATTGCTGGCTCGCACCTGAACCCTTTGTGCTGTGTCCAGAACCCCTCCCTCACTACCCCTGTCAGTCACAGCCCTCTTGCTCCCGGCAAAGCCTTTGGTGGTTCCACGTGGCTATGCTGCTCCCTTGCCACGGAAGCCACCACCCTTTCTGCAGGGATGCCCAGAGCTATCATGCCTGGTCAATCCTGTGGGCTCCTCATGCCCCCAGACCTGCTAAGGCATCAAGTCTGATGATCAGAGTAGGGAACACCAAGAAAGGAGAGCTGGGGGCTTGGCCCCACGGCTCTACGAGCCACACGACCTGAGGTGGACCAGGCAGCCAGGTCGGACTTAGCTGCTTTTTCTGCAGGGGGGTTGCGTGGTGTGTCCCCACCCTTTTCTTTAAGCATGAAGCCTTTGAGGGCCACAGCTGCTCCAGAAACTGGGAAATGGCATTCTCACAGATCTGGGGGGTTCGTCAATATTAACCACCCTGTAATCATTCCTATTCTCCTAAAGGCTCAAGACAAGACAGTAAGGTAGTTAACGCAACAGCTCTCCAAAGTGAAGGAGAACAGAGCAGCAAACTACCTGACAGGCAAATCAGGTCCCTACCCCATCCCGGCTGGCAGAGTCCCAGGCTTCTAGAAACCAAGAGGGTCACAGGGCTCATTCCAACTTCAGAGGAAAAACGCTATGGAAACTTACCAAGTAAACACTAAGCAGTAACAAAGGCAGCACAAAAAGCCTTTTTAAGTTTGTTTTCCAAAAGCTTCTCCAGGCTGTTTCTTTGTGATGTATGTGTGTGGGAGGGTTGGATTCTCAGGAACAGAGATAAAATCTCTTGGACTAGCCCCCCTCCTCCCAGGAGATTCCTGGCATGCTGGTGGAATGCTGGCTGTGGCAGGGCCTCGGGAGATGGGAAGCCATCAGGGAGCCCCGGGGGTGGAAGAGGGGGGGTGGTTCAGACTCTCCACAGGGACAAGATCCTGGCCTGCCTGCCAGGGCCAGTGCTCAAGAAGTTATCTGGAAGTAGTAGCTCACCTCATTCCAGTTGGGCTCCGTTGTGTCTCTGTAAACGCGTGTTTTGGCTTTATTCACAAAATAACCAAAGGAGTCCACCTCCAGGGTGCAGTACAGATCTGCGGAAGGACAACACAGGGAAGGTGACCCGCTTTTCCACATTACCCGCATTTTCTATGACAGCAGGGGTTATTTTTTGTAGGGGGCCAAGGGCAGGCTGCCCCAAGATAGGCCACTGTGACACGGAGATTACTCTGAGCTGAAGGTAATTAAGACTCTATGGGCTGAAGAGAAACTTTTGCCCTTTCCTTAACTATATAGAAAAATCTAGATTGGGGAGGGGGGATTCTCAAAATAAGGGTTATGAGCAGAGATAAATTTTATCTGAGTGACCCACCGGTATGACAGGGCAAACTTTTTGTTGTTGTTGTTGTTAAGATTTTATTTATTTGTGTGTGAGGGGGAGTGAGCAAGCGCACAAGTAGGAAACTTACCAAGTGAAGTTTCCAGGCTGGCAGGCAGAGGGAGAAGTAGGCTCCTCGCTGAGCAGGGAACCTGATATGGGACTCGATCCCAGGACCCTGACAGATACTTAACCAAATGAGCCACCTGGGCATCCCCAAATATCTGTTCTTATTGCCCTGTCATGTGCATTCCTGTCCTTTGAACTCCCAGACCCCTATGCCCTACTCCTTAGTTCAGAATGACATATATGCTTCATTTTGCCTAACCAGCTCTGTAATTTCCAAGTCCATGTGGATTTCCTGTTTAAACGCTATTTTCTCTTGTTAGTTGGTCTCCTATCAATCTGATTCTTAGTCCAACTGAAAGGACCCTTGAAGGAGACAGAAATTCTTGTTCCTGGACATTTTCAAAATCAGGGAAAAATGGCCTTCATTTTCTTTCTTTCTTTTTTAAGATATTATTTATTTATTTGAGAGAGAGAGAGAGGGTGAGTGAGTGAGAGGGAGAGAGCTTGAGCGGGGGGAGAAGCGGAGGGAGAGGAGAGGGAGAAGCAAGACGTCCCACTGCAGGGAGCCTGACACGGGCCTCGATCCTGTGACTCCAGAATCAGGACTTGAACTGAAGGCAGATGCCCAACCAGTGGAGCCACCCAGGGGGCCCCTTAATTTTCTTTTTAAAACAACACACCACCAGCCAGCATGGAGTCCCAGCACTTCATGCAATGATTCCACCCCATAGTGCAACCGAACCAGCAGCTCTCAGAATGTGTTCACTTGGCCCCCTGCCAAACCCTGACTACAGCCTCTATGAGAGCAAAGCCCTACGGCTGGTGACCTGGGCAGAGGTGAATGGACCATGACCACCAAGATGAGGATGCATACAGAGGGGCGGAGCCAGAGGAAGTGCCTATCACCTGCGAAGTTTGAGCTTACCAACCTAATGGGCACACGGTGCTGCAGGCCGGGGTTGGGTGGGGGAGGGCACTACAAACAGCTCCGTGCTGGGAGAATTGTGGGGCATAGGGGGAGTGCAGGTAAGGACCAGCGGCAAGGCCACTGCCAGGGTCAGAAGAAGGCTGGGGCAGGGGGCCAGAGGTAACAATGAAACTTCACTGACGGGGAATGTTATCTTATGGATATGGCCAGTAAACCACACGGTGGTTTTTGGCCTGGCCATGGGGTGGACGGTGGCACTTCTCACTGGGGCAGGACATAAGAGGAACAAGTTTAGGGGCCTGAGCGACAGGGTCACTGTGGGAATGTGGAGTTTGGAGTGTGGGACACTGAGGACCCAGATGGAAAGATAACAGAGAGGGCCCAGGAGAGCAGAGTGGGGATGGAGAGGAAGGAGCTAGGCATCATATGCGCTGTTGATGGAAAGGTCCCTGGTCGCAGGAAGTGGGGAGTATTCATAGTGAAGGCCTATATGGAACCCTTAAAAACACCAGCATTTATGTGAGGGGGGGCGTGAGGCCGGTGCACCCAGGGGAACAATTACATCTGTGTGATGACTTTATGGAGCTATAATCTGCATACTACAGAACCCATCTGTAACAAGTTTGGGGATTTTCAGAAAATTTAAACACTTGCGCAAACAGCACTGCCACTGTTTTAGGACATTGCCCTCTCTCCAAAAAGGCCCCTTGGGTTCCACGGCAGACAAGTCTCCTCCCACCATGAGCCCCAGGAAACCCCTGCCAGGCTTTCCGTCTCCAAATGGTGATTTTCTCGAAATTTCTGACAAGCAGAATGATATGACATGTAGTCTTTTGAATCAGGTGTCTTGCTAGGAATAATTCTCTTTCGATTCATCCCCATGGTTGCCTTTATCAGTACTGTGTACCTTTCTACTGCTGAGTGGCGCTCTGTCACGTGCACGAACATGGCGTGTTTTATGTGAACACGCACGCATCTCTCTAGAGTAAATACTTAAAAGCAGGGCTGCTGGGTCACACGGTAGAGGTGTGTTTAACTTTTTAAGAAACCCTCAAACTGTTTTCCAGGTTCCAGGCTGAACACTTTCACATCCCCACCAGCGGAGGGCCTGAGGGTTTCAATTTCTCCACACTCCCACCGACATTTGTCACTGTGCACCTTTTTGATTATCACCATCCCGGTGGGTAAGAAGTGGGATCTCACTGTGGTTTTAATTCCTATCTCCCTACAACCATGAACACCTTTTCACGTGCTAATTAGCGACCTGTATTTCTTTGGTGAAGTATATTCAAATTTTTCGTTCATTTTTAAAAACTAGGTTGTGTCCTTTGCACTGCGGTTCTGAGAGTTCTTCATACTCTGAACACAAGTCCTGTATCATGTGTACACACACACACACACACAGTTCTTCATACTCTGAACACAAGTCCTGTATCATGTGTACACACACACACACACACACACACACACACGGTTTGTAAATTCTGTCTTCTTGGCTGTGGCTTGTCGGTGATTTCTCGTTCAGCTTTGCAGCATCAGTGGGAAAGCACAGCAGCACAGCCCCTGTCCTGCATCCTCCTACAAGGGGCCCCGAGGACTCATGAGGAAGTGGCACGCTGAGGGGTGCAGCCTGTGCTGTCCTAGATTGAAATGCAACCAGCCCCCGCCTGAGCACCTGCAAGGCACTCCCCACCTCGGAGGGGTGGGAGGAAAAGGAGATCCATTTAGCTCTCAGCAGCCAAATCTACTCTGCTGGTTGGGTCAAGGCCCAGCTTTCCATAGCTTGGAACCCAGGCCGTGCCTCCTGCTGGAGCCGATCCCAGTGCCTGTAATTACAAGACTTGCCTGCAGGGGGCAGCTCAGCAGCTTGCACATCTGGTCCAGGGACCACGGACCAGGGACCAGAGACTGATAACAGTCCACTAGGCGTGCGAACCTGCACAGGACCTCACAGGTTTAGGGTCCAAGGCATCTGACGATAATCTGAGTCATGACTGGTTCCTCACAGCCTCCAGGTCAGTGGCCTGCTCCCTTCCTCCCCAAACCAATCACTTACTTGAACTCTGCTTAAAGCCAATTGCGGAGTGAACGATGACATTCAGGAACCCGTACAGCCCGGGAGATTCATCATCTGTGCAAGAGAGCAGAGAGGTGAGCATCCATGCTCCTGAGACAGGGAGGCAGGTGACAGGCCCTGCTTCAAAACCAACCCTCGAAGGGAGCACCATGTGACGGCCATTTGCTCAGCACAGGGCCAGGGGATGTCATGAGCCAGAAACATATCCACTGTAGCCTTCAACTCAGGGACCTGAGGATCTGAGTTGGGTTCACAGCATAGTAGACCCATGACTGAGGTGAAGAGTAATAAGGTTCCCAGGACAGGAAAGGGGATGTGTGCACAACCCAAGTGCCCGTGAACAGGAATGAGTAGACATAAGTATGTGGATGAGTGGGCACAAAATGCAGCATGACCAAAGGGAGGACAGGGGAGCAGGGCCAGACCCAGAGCACAGAGGATCTGAGATGTGTCATATGACCAGGAACAAAGTCATGTGTCTCCTCAACCACCCAGCAGCTGGGGACAGACCTCCCCTGACCCATCCCATCCACTCCTGGAAGGGGCTGACAAGCCCCTAGCAGCACATGCGTTCCTTTGAGAAACCTATGGTCCCAAAGACAGTGCTGACAGCAGAAAGGGACAGCAGCCCTTGGGAGGACAGCCCACCTTCTTTGTTGATGGTCAGTGGAATGCTATGGACGGTCTGCAGTTTGACACACGAATTGGTCAGCATCTGCAGCTCCACGGACGTCAGCGAGAAGCTTTTGAAACCTGAGAGGGTAGAAACCAGGTGCATCAACCAGCCAGCCTGCATGGTTCCCCAGACCCCGGGGACACCCAGAGGGTGTTCTCTGAGGTCCCCACGCAAGACCTTCATGGTGATGAGCTGCGGTGGCCAGGAGGGGGCGACCCGCTCCCAAGAGAGGAGCGGGTAAATGGCCAAGCAAGGCATGGCCTTGGCTGAGGCTGGGCTAGGAGGGCAGGAGGAATTAGCATAACCTGCCACCTAAGCACAGCCACAAGGCAACTGTGAGAGGGCGGCTTGGAGCATCTTTCCACACAGACACCAGCAGAGCCCTGCCCTGAGCTCTGCCAGCAAGGGTCCCTGGATCTCCACCAGGTGAGGAAAGGGGGCTGATTTCTTTTGCAGCGCTGAGTAGGGAACAGACGCTGTCATGCTGCAAATGGTTGGGGTCCCCTGGTTATAAAAGCACACCTGGGACACGAGCCCAGGCAAGGCAGCAGGCACTGTGTGTGTGTGTGTGGGGGGGGGTGGTTACAGCTCAGCACAGGCAAGGACGATAAGCCTGGAGGAATGGGAGCTCAGGACAGGGCAGAGGTGTGTGGAGCTCCCAGCCCACCTGTGACACCGTGCTCAGCCCGGCTCTCTCTGCAGGCACTCTCAAAACAGTGCCACATGGAGCACACCTGGGAACCTCTTAGCAAGGATAGCTTGGGAATCCCGAACCACAGAGCTGGGCTGCAGAGGAAGGACCCAAGTGGGGTAGCCCTGGGACTTGTGGCAGGGTCTGCCTTCCCACTCCTGAAGCCTGCCAGACAGGCCCAGGGGCAGCTCTGAGCTCAGGAGAAGGTGGTAACTGCTAAGAGAGGGAAGCACCCAGGAAAGGGACCATCCCAGAGAAGAGTGAGCACCCTACCCTAAGAGTGATCAAGTGCTGGCCCCTTGGACAAGCACTGGGACTAGCACAGTGTGGCTGCCTGGGTGGGTCCAGCCAAGGGCCTCTTTGGCATCAGCACCTGCTGGGGGGTGAGGGAGACCAGGGGGCAGGGCAGGCAGGGGCGACGGGGGTCCACAGAGGACAGGTAGGCATCAGAGTAGGGAGATTCAGGAGGGAGGTGGGGAATTTAGGAAAGGCACTGGGGGAGAGGGAGAGTTCACAGGGAAGGTCAGAAAGCAGGTGGGGGTGACATACAGGGGATGTGGGGGAGGCCTAGGAAAGCGGGCATAGAGGGCAGGGCCCTAGCAGGAGCTCCTGTCCAATTTATTTTCTGAATCAGAGTTCATGGAGCATCACTTGGGTAAGAGAGCCACTGCCCAGCCCTCAGGAAGAAAAGGCTTGAAACCACAGGAGGAGAAGAATTCCCAGCCCCGAGGTCCTAAGGCTCTCCCTGCAGATGCCACTTACACTTTTTCTGCTGCTCTCGGATGTTCTCCCTCCACTCAGCGCGCTCATAGTCAGAAGAGATCAGGAACGTGTAACTCTGGGGAGTGAGAAGGAGAAGGCATCCTGCCTACCTTCACTCCCCATCACGGTCCACATGCGCTCCCGCAGTGCACCCCTCCAAGGCACACGTACCCGGGTGCCAGAGGCTGGCTGGAGCCTGGTGGCTGAGTGTGCTCACAGCTCGACTTGTGTTTCTGGCACTCTCCACCCTTCCTGCCAGCTGGGCTTTAGGCCACAGCTCCCGTGCCCCACACAGCTCTGCCTCTGGAACCCGCCCCCTGCCTGGACGGCCTGGGCCAGGGCATGGCATGCTGTGACTTAGGGCCACAGAGAAGGTAACCGGGTGGGATCTGCAGAAGTGAGGGCTGGTGCCACCCTGACCACCTGCGTCCAACACACAGGCCCTGAGCTGTGACCCAGAGACGAGGCTCTCACAGAGCCCACCAGCTGCCTCCCTAGGCTGCCCGCTGATGGCCATGTGCGATGCCCGGCGAGGGAGAGGCCCTGACTCCAGACTGCACCAGGAGCCAGACTCAGGACAGAAGGTCCCCCAGGCACATGAGGTCCCCAGACGGAATCCCTGTACTGAGGTCCGGGTCTGCACAAACCTGCGAACCCCTGCCCTAGTCAGACTTCCTGGAGACCCTGCCACCTCCCAGCTATAAGGGCTGAGGTCAATCTGGGGGCTTCAGCCCAAAGAACCGGTCCGAGGGACACATGGGCCTGGGTATGCCGTACTGAACTAGCTAGCCTCTCATGGTGTGGGAGTGCCCTCCAGAGGTAAAGGGCTGCTGTTGTACCTGCCACACAGGAGCCAGAAAACGAAGCTGCCACCCAGCTGGGCGGTGGGTCTCAGCCACAGCACAGTGAGGTTCCAGTTACATGGGACCCAGGGGCCAGGAGCATCTGCCGGGGCTAGCAGGGGGAGGCCCCAGCTGGTTGAGTGAGGCGGGCGCTCACCTTGCCGTTGCGGTTGTGTACCCTGAAGGCCATGCTGGGGGACATGAGCAGGAGCAGCGACTCCTGCTCTGATAGCTTCTTCTTCAGCCTCTCGATGGCCTTGCTGCCCTTGTTTGCCCTCTGTGGGGAGAGGCCACATGGTCACATTTCCATCCCGGGGGCCCGTGCTACTCGTTTCTGCCCATCCTGTCCCCACTGCTCCCAGAGCCTTCCTCAGCCTACAGGGTTTGTGGAGCCGTAGGCCAGGGGTGGGGGGGTGTGGAGCTGTAGGCCAGGGGGAGGAGGACCCCTGTCCTGCTGAGCCCACCTCAGCCAGGTATCCCTGAACCAAAGCCCAACCTTCTGGGGACCCACCGCGTCTGTGACTACCGCATGGTGCCTGCTCTGGCCGGGGCTAACCTTACATGCGAACCCTCACTGTTCCTCAAGTCTTATAATCTCTCCAGAAACAACCAGGGCCTGCCTGGGCCAGTCCAGAACACCTATAGGGGCTGATCCCCCTTCCTGGGATCCTCTCTCCATCGGTGCAGCCGGGCACCTCCCCCACCCCACACACTGGATGGCTCCAAGCCTGAAGGCAGGCTTGCAGGGATCCCAGCAGGTCTCCAAGGCCGGAAGTGGATCAGACACCAGACACCCATGTGTGAGGGCTGGCTGCCGCTCCAGCTGCAGGGCCTAGCCTTGTTCCTTCCCAACTGGTTTCACCTTCTCTCTCTGAATATCGTTCTTGATCTGGGATATCTTGATCTTCATGGCATCCAGCTCCTCATCCAGCACCAGCGGGATGCTGGGAGCCGCCTCTGACTCGTCCACCGTCTGGAAGCTGAGATCCGTGAGTGGGATGTACCATTTGCAGTCGTACTGCTGGGTTTTGCTGGGGGAGGAAACAGCACATTAACACATGGACTGCTTCTCCTTTGCTAATGTCACTGCTCTCAAGAACCGGAAAAGCCTAAGTTTGAGGCTCGCATAGTTTACAAGACCTTGAAACCTAGCTTGTGGTCCGTGTGACAGGCTGACATAAGGTCTCTGGCAGACACTGGGGACCCCTAGCAATGGGCACTCTGCTTGTGTGACTTAGGCCTGATCCACCTCATCCTGGGTTGAGATGGTGGCGGCTCACAGGCCCCCTGATGTGGGAGCACATCAGTGGGGGGCATCCATAAACAAGACAGGACTGCAGACACCCCCAGAGCCGTAGAGTTTGAGGGTCTACAGATCTCCTGGGGGAAATCCCTTGCCATGACAGAAGGGGAAACTGAGGCTGTCTTCTGAGGTGACTGGTTTAAGTGTACTCAGTATGGTAATGGCAGAATGGGGGAAAAAGCCCAGTTCTGGTCTTTCTCAATATAATCTCTTATTTCCTTCACAGCTGGTGCAACCTGGGTGGTCTGATTCCCGAGAGGAGGGGTGTGTTGGGGGGTGGTGTATAGCATAGGCTGAGAATAATTTAGAAGCTCTCACCAGGTCTGTGGAGACAAAGTACCGGGATGGTCTAGTGATGTCCCCCACTCTCCACCCTGCTCCCTCACCTGCCAGCCTGCACCAGACCCTACAACTCTCTGACCTGCCACTTTTTCTGGGTCATGACATGACAGACTCCCAAGAGCACCTCATCAGGTAGGTTCCCTTTCCACTGTAGAAGGTAACAGACCGGTCACTGATCCTGACCTAGAATGTCCCCAAGTTGTTAGTGGTGACCTTTCACCCTGAGCCTGGCATCACGGCCAGCTGGAAACGTGACCTAAAGAAAGTGGCCTGGACACATAGTTACCAAACTCTTCAGGCTCACTGCCCAAGGGAAAAAAAAAAAAAAAAAAAAAGCTAGGTTTCCTTTGCCCATGAGACTAGCCCCGTGCCCGGCCCCAAGACCCTCCCCACCTGGCAGGACGGGCACCGTGTGGTCACTTACCCCCCGCTCTGCTTTTTGAGCTTGGTACAGAGGAGCAGGTCCGTGAACAGGAACACGTGGCGCAGCTTACGGGCCCCCTCCACCAGCTCCACCATGAAGCTGTCCTTCAGCAGCTGCCGGTGCTGTGGGGGGGCAGTGGGGGCTTGAGTCAGGGCAGCGGGCCAGGGGGCGGGATGGGCCTTCACTGACTTAGTCTCCCACTTTCAGACCCAGTCTCCAGTGCTCCCCCATCTCAGCGAACACACATACCCTTTTCTCTTTGTTCAGCAAAGCTTTTCGGGTGCTTGGCCTGTGGAGGAGGGTGAGTGGACAGGGTACCAGCCACTGGCCTGAAGGCTGGGGAGGGGGACATTACAGCTATGTCAGTGGTATGCAGAGAAAACGATGGCAGGAAACCCCTGTGAGCAGCGTGGTCCCTGCCTCTGTAGGGCAGCAACTGGAGACCCAGAAAAGGTAAGAGGCTGGCCATGCGAAGGGCCTTCTTACAGAAGGACCATCATAGCACAGGCCCACGGTGAGACAAGCATGGATGGGGCAGCCTGGTGAGTGGAGAGGAGGCAGGCCCAGTGTGCTCCAAGAAGGCCTGGCTTAGTTCTGAGGGCAGCAGGAGGCCCAGCAGGGGGCCCAGAGCTGGGACTCTATGCCCTGGGCTTCTTAGGGTCAGTGCCCACTGACTGGCAGAAGCCCACATAAGATGCCTGGATACCTGCAGTCTGAGGTGACCTGCCCAGGACACACTGGACCTAGACTGAGCAGGGGGACAGGAGGCACCAGCCCGCCAGCAAGCCACGTGCCTCTGCACCCGGGTGCTTCATCTGAAAGACAAGAACACTCCCACTGGCTCATACAGCTCCGGGGGTAGCTGAATGGCACACCAAGGTAAGTCGGTAATTCTTCCGAAAAAGAGTGCCCGGCACCTCATGAGGGTCAACACGGTGCTGTGCCAAGGACACAAAGACAGGATGAGAGGCTGATGTGGCGAGCCTCCCCCTTTCCTATGCACATTCCAGGTACGCTGTGCGAGCACATGGCCTCATCACCGGATGTGATCCCCACGACACCCTGCGAGCAGGTCCTTGTGCCCATCTCACAGATGAGAAACGGGAGCCTTGGGGAGGTTTACCACCTGTCCCAGGCAGGGGACTCAGGTGACTGAGGAAGCAGAGACGCTCAGCAGACTCTGTCCTTGGAATTCAAAAGCCCATGGGAGAGAGACCAGATGCTTAGCGGGAACCCAGCCACCCTGGCTTCTGGGAAGGCCCTCCAGAGAGTGTGACTCCCCACTCCTCACTGCGATGGCCAGGGAAGGGCCTGGAGGATCAGGTACCTATACTGGAATGATCCATATCCATAGCATCTCCCCAGCTGGAGGTATGTCCATCCCCGCCCCCGCCCCTGTTGTGCTTGGCAGGCCCACGCCTGGCTCCCTGCCACTTGCAACCTCAGGCTCTTCTTGGGGAGCCTGTGCCTCCCGAACTCTCCCAGACTCTCTGCAAGAGCTGGAGCCAGCAGAGCTGCCCAGAAGCAAGTATAGCCTGGGCTGGGCCCCAGCACGCCCAGGTGCAAAAGCCACACGTCACTGTCATATTCAGCTCAGGTCACAATGGCCAGCTGGCTCCTGGCTCCAGGGGTGAATGATTTAAATGGAAGAGCATTAAGTGGAAGCACTGGAAGACTGCCTGCCTTCCAAGGCCATGACTCATTGTCATTCACCCCCTGCCTGCCTGGCATGGGCAGAGAGCCCACCTGGCATTGGCGGCTACAGGAAGCAATAAAGTGTGTGCACCTGGAGAAATGTCCACAAAGAGCTGGAGACCCTAGGGCAAAGCCTGGACAAACCTGACTGCTGGGTCCTTGTCAGGGAGCAGGTCTGTGAAGGCTCCTGGGACCCTGAAGTCCCAGAGGAATGAACGGACAGATGCCTCTGCAGCAGGGACAGGGGAGAGGGTCTTCCAGCCCAAGGGGCAGGGACCCAGGGACCCTCTGTGGCAGGACGTGGATCCTTTCTCCATACAAAGCGGCTGAGCTTCTGGCCACCACCAGCAGAGGGCCCCTGATGTCCAGCTCAGAAGTAGACTCCTCACCAGCAGGTCAGAAATGCCCGGAGTCCCAGCAGCGCCCACCCTCCTCCACCCCTCAGCCAGCCCACCCTCTCTCCCTGCAAGGTCCTGCTTGCTCACACCTTCAGCTGAAGTGTTGCATTCATCCTCCACAAGACCACTGAGTATTCCCTGGTGCTTGAAGCAGCCCACACGCCTGCCCTGCTGTGTGCAGGCTCAGCCTGCAGCCTTGGGAGGTTGTGACAGACAGACTCTTCTTGGATACTGTGACAGTCGCCATGACCCTCCCCGTAAACTCTTGCCTATACAAACCCTCATCTTTCTAAGAGAAGCCCCAAAGCCAAGGGAGCCCCGACGCTTCCTAGTCAGCGCACTGCCCCCTAAAGCATCCCAGTCTGAGCCCTGCTCTGTGCCACGCTCTGTCTCCGAGGGAGAGCAGAGAGTGTGAGTCATGCATGTCACCTGCCAGACCCTTGCAGTGTGTGGGTACTGGACAGCAGTGGCTATCTTCAGAGTAAGGCTCTTTCATTGTGAGTTTTCCCTGTCTTGTCACAGTTGCCCTCCCTCCAGAGGAAGCACTGGGTCTTGCTTCTGAACCCCAGGCCACCCTGGGGTCTTCTGGCATGCCCAAACAGAAAATATCCAGGAATTGGGCAGGAGGGGTCTCCCAGCCCCAGGAAAACAGGCCCCCAACTATACTCTGGCAAATCCACAAAGGGAGCCTGGACCCCAGGAGAGAGACCGGAGTTGGGGGGAGAGGGGAGGGGTCAGGGCAGGGGCAGCAGGCGAGGGGAGTGTGAGGGAGGGGGAGGGCCAGGCATCACACTGCCTCTGTCCATATTTCCCCAGGCCCAGGGGTAATCCTGAGGCACTGACTCTTAGGGCTGGTGGTCCCATGCTGAATGCACAGCCTAGGGCCCTGACGCCTGGGTAGATGCCTCCTATTGGCTCTGGAGGTCAGCCGGCCTAGGCCTGGGATCAGCCCTGCTCAGAATCCAGCCCAAAGCCCCAGGCTGAAGAGGGATCCTGCCGCTGAAACAGGTCCATGAAGAAACCACAACAAACCCTTATCTGCACAGACACAATTTCAGGAAGGAGAGAGGCCAAGGGTAGACGATCAGAGAGGAGGGCAGAAATGAAAGAGGGATGAAGCAGGTGCAGGCCCAACAGCAAGTTTTTGAGGGGCCTCTCTGCCCTTTGGCTGAGGCATCCAAGGGGCTGCCGGACCCTGTGGCCATCACCCAGACCTCTTCTCAGATCCTGGGCTTCTGCAGAGAAGCACTGCCAGGCCACATGGGACCAGTGTAGAGCCAGGAGGACCCTGTCTGCCCAGGAGATGTCCCACTTGGAAATGCTCACTAGCCCTGTCTGCAGCACCTGTCCCTTGAGGGGACACAGGAGGGTCACACAGCTTGGCTGCACCGGGTCACAGCTCCATGGCACTGTGGGCTGTGGTCTAAAGATGGTGTGAAGTCAGGTGGCTAGAAGGGACTGTCCCTTTGCCTCAGCATCTCATGCAGAGCAAACAGCCCCAGCCCTGGGTAGAGCTGTAGGAGAAGACCTGGAACCCGCTGGACCCCAGGGTAGCGCAGCACTATTCTCAAGGTCTATGGGACAGTGACTCAGGAAAGCCAGTCCCTTGGGGGTGCCACAGGAGTGCGTTTGTGCGAAAAAGAATCCATGTGTCTCTGTGTCTCTCTGTGTGTGTCTCCATGTAGGCAGGCATGTCTTTGTATGTGTGTATCCCCGTCAGTGTATGGGTCCTGATTTCCGTGTTGCCCCGTGTATGTCTCTTGTATATATATTTCTGTGTCTGTGTCCTCATGTGTGTGTCATGTTCTTGTGTTTCTATGTACCGTTCTAGATGTTTCCATGTCCCTGTGTGTCCATGGGTCTATGTGTCCCCCCATGTCCCTCTGTAGGTATGGGTGTGTGTTTTTGTCCCTGTGTATATCGCAGTGTGTGTCCCCTCGTGTGCATGTCTTTGTGTGCACTATGGGGTGGAAGAGTGATGGTGGTGGGAAAGGCACTCCACTTGGGGAGTCCCTCCACCCCCACATTCCAGATGGGGAACATCTGTTTAGAGGGGACACCACTTGCCTCCCTGAAAGAGTGATAAGCTCACACTGCCAGGGAGTGAGGTGTCTGCAGCCCACCCTCCTCTCTTCTCTGCAGTGATGACGCTGGCTCAGCCAGTTCATCTCTCTGAGCCTCGGCTGCCTTAAAAGGTAAGAGGGGATGCAAACACCTGCCTGGTGGCATTTTTCAGAGGATTAAATGTGCCCACATGGGGCTATTGGCTCCCATAAGCCAAGTCCTTTGCAGGTCCAGGCCCTGCGTTGAGAGGTGCCCGGTCACTGGGCTTCTCACACTTCGTGATGACTGGGGGCGGGGGTACCATCACCCTCACTGCTACAGACAAGGAAACTGAGGCCAGTGAGGTTACATTATGTGTCCACCATCTTCGGAAGAGGGGAGTCTCCTTCCTCAGGGGTCTTTCCCTAGGCTGGCCGGCCTCCCCCCAGCTGTCATCTAGGCAATACTCTAGAGCCCACCCAGGAAGGAGGCATCTGGAAGAAGTGTACTGTTACAGACTGATATTTGCGTCCACCCCAAAATCCATATGTTGAAGCCCTAACCCCACAATGTGACAGTGTCTGGAGGCAGGGCCTTTGCAGGCAATTAGGTTTAGGTGAGGCTGCGAAGGTAGGAGCCCATGATGGCACTGATGCCCTTCTAAGAAGAGGAAAACAGCTCTCTTCACATGCACACTGTGAGGAAAAGCCGTAGGGGCACACAGTGAGAAGGTGGCCATCTGTGGGCCAGGAAATAGGCTCGTACCAGACCCTGAGCATGCTGGTACACTGACCTCCAGAACCCTAGGCCCCAGAACTGTGTGAAATAAAAGCCTGTTGTCTGAACCCCCAGCAGATGGCACTTTGTTCAAGCAACGGAGTAGACTGCGGCACACGTACAAAGAAGCCAGAGACCACGATTCCATGGAGGGGGCTCGGGGAAACTTTGTCAGGGACAGGAATTAGTTTAGTGATAAGCCAGTGGGG